ACATACACACATACACATATATATATATATATATATATATATATATATATATATATATATATACACACACACACACACACACACATATATATATATATATATATATATATATATATATATATATATATTTGTGTTAGACAGGATATTATCTTTCAGTTTAAACGTTATGTCGGCTTATTTTTATCATAATACTTTCATATTCACGAATATTTTCTCGTATATTACAATTATATGAAGCAAAATATTTTTCAAAACAATTAGCTTTCATCGATTGGTTTTCGAAATTGAACGAAACGTACAGTTTCTAAATGTCGACAAAAATGTAAGCGATAACTTCAACAATACTAAATATTGTGAAGAGTACAACAAAATTCTAGTGACTAAAATGTATCGATCTGAAATACTGGCTTGTCTATGTAGCAACATAAGACAAACTTACACGCAGTAAATGCTACAAATCGTTATGCTGTTTCACTCTGTTCTGAGAGTGTATATACCATTCGTGCGCCAACTGAATCGCTGGAACGCATTCTTGTATAGTTCCTTTGTCGCTATTTCCTTTACTTTTATCAAAGGAGTCATCTTCAACGGCACCAGTGTCTTGGATTCTTGCTTCCTTTTCCTCTTTGATGAACCGATTTTCTTTCAACTCTTACAATTCAAATTCTCTTTCCCTTGTGCTTGCCGTGTCTAATCTCCACATCTTGGGTTCTTTTTTGCTTAATTTTCCATATTTATTCAATACTTTTTCATATTTATTTAAATATTTCTTTTGCTTCCCCGGGGTTTTTATTCCAACTTTTTTCCTATTTTTCTTATCTAGTATCTCTCTATCTGAGATGAGTTATTATGTACACTATTAACATTATCCGGACTATTGTCCTCATCTTTGTCGCCATATTTATTACAAAGTTTCTGCCGTTGTCCGCTCCGGCCTTTTCAGGTGGTTGGAATGTCACTGGGGTAGACTGTTCTAGTTCCACGTGCCATGCCTAATAGATTCCAGTTATCTCCTGTTAATTCCCTTCTGAACGTTCTCCATCGCCTTAACAAGGTATTGAACTCACACTCTTTGGGTCCTGCCACTGGATCTAACCAACGCCTTTATCCACTGTGCCATAAAGACGGTTAAGGCAGTTAATTTCCATCTGAAAGTTCTGAGGGAAATTAACAGGAGATAACTGACATATATTAAACATAGCAGTCTACCCCAGTGAGCGAAATAAACGGTTAAGTTCGACATTCCAACCACCTGAAGAAGGCCGGAGCGTACAACGGCAGAAACGTTGTAATAAATATGGCGATAAAGATGAGCACAATAGATCGAATAATGTATATAGTGTTTTCTTATCTATTTTTTTATTCTATCATTCTCTTTCTCTCTCTCTCTCTCTCCCTCTCTTCGCGGTTAATCTTGTCTCTTTTTCTCTTTTTTTTTTGACTTTCTACATTTATAATAATTTATTCATTATTCGATCATTTTAAAAAAAATTTTCGATGTCGTTTCAAAACCTATGTGATCATGGTGCTCTACGGATTCCTTTTCTCTCTTTGGATTACTATAAATATTAAAGAAGGATAATATATATATTTGCCCTTTACATTATCCAATGATTTAAATTTAAAAAGGTCCTTTTCCTGGTTGTTTTCTACGCAAAGATAAAGTCTACTCTTTTAATTGAGACAATAACTGATGGGAGGTTATAGACAAGACAGATTCATCTTTTTCCCAGTTTGATTAACGCCCAAGTGAACACAGTCGAATAGCCTGGAAATCAAAGTCGGTGCGTCGATTTCAGTGTCGGCAGCGATAACCATTACACTAACCACAATTACTACTTCGCCTTAATTTCTTCACATTTCTTCATTTCAAAAATCAATCGCATGTTTGTTTTACTAACATCATTTAAAAAAAAACTACCTTCTCCTTTTTCTTACATTCTATCATTCATTCGTCGCTTTCTTCCTTCTTTTATCTTTCCTTCTTTTATCCTTCTTTCTTTCCTTTCTTTTTTCCTTTCTTTTTTGTCTATTCCTGCCTTCCTTTCTCAAATTTCTTCTGCTTTCCTTTTTGCTTTACTTCGTCTTTTTTTTCATCGCTTTCTGCTTTTCTTCATTCCTTTGTACATTCCTTCCTTTATTTGTCCATACCTTCCTTCATTTTCTCATTCTTTTCTTCCTTTCTTTCTTTGTATATTCTATCGTTTCCTTATCTATTCTTTCGTCCATTTTCTCCTTTCCTTAATTCCTTAGCCCATTCCTCCCTCCCTCCCTCCCTCCCTTCCTTCCTTTCTTCCTGCCTTCTTTCTTTCTTTCCTTCCTCCCTCCCTACCTTCCTTCCTTCCTTCATTTTCTTTTTTCTTCCTTCTTTCCTTTGTTTATTCCATCTTTCCTTTGTCCATTCTTTCTTTCCACCCTTCCTTCCTTCATTTTCTCTTTCCCTCCTTCTTCCTTTACTGCATTTTTGTTTTTGTGCATTCCTTCCTTCCTTCCTCCGTCTATTCCTTCCTTCCTTGCTTCTTTCCTTCCTTTCTTCATTTATTCCTTCTTTCCTTCCTCATTTCCTTTGCCATTTCTATCGTTCCTTTGTGCATCCCTTCCTTCCTTCCTTCCTTCCTTCCTTTCTTCCTTCCTTCCTTCCTTCCTTCCTTCCTTTGCCCATTCCATCTTTCCTTTGTGCATCTCTTCCTTCCTTCGTATATTCCTTCCTACGTCTATTCCTTCCTTCCTTTCTTCCTTGCTTCCGTCCATACCTTTCCTTCCTTCCTTCCTTCCTTCCTTCCTTCCTTCCTTCCTTCCTTCCTTCCTTTCTTCCTTCCTTCCTTTGTTCATTCCTTCCAACCTTACTCCACGTTCCTTCTTGAATTCTTCCTATCTCAATTTCTTCCTTCTTTTCCTCTTCCTTCTTTCCTTCCTTTAGCATTCATTGCTCACTTTCTCATTCTTTTTTTCATTCTTTGCCTTGCTTTTGGCTTTTGAAATCTTTATCTGCGAACCTGTTGATGAGCTCAGTTGGTGGACAAGAAAATTATTAAAACATTGGCTACTGTCCAATGCCATTGATCATTCAAAATGCCTTCAAACTTCAGTAGAAATACAATTCGGTTCGGAATCTTCAGTTTGCGGTGAATTTATAAATTAATCTTGTCTGGAATGCCGTCGATCGGACCGTCTGTGAGTTTAGACGCATAACGGAGCAAACATACACGAACAACTACGAATGCCCAGACACGACCTATTCTCAGAAAATAATAATTTTCTAAACAGTTCTTTTCTTTAATGTTCTTGATTTTTTCCATATTTAAAAAATTTTCATTAACGTTTATATTCGTACTAAAAATGTGTTATTTAGTGTTCTATGGCATTTTTTGTCTTGGTCAGCCACGAAAGAGTTCAAATGTGGATACGCGGCATATTCTTACTTCTTTCTTCTACGCCTTTATAATCTCACTCATTAAAACTCTATCTTGAGTGGCTCTTGCACCTTGTATTGGGTTAACTAACATTAAAAAGAAATCGGATAATAGTGATAAGCCCACTTTTATATAAAATGTCTATAATTTTGATTTAAAAATGTTTTTTTTTCTATAAAAGTAATAACTCATTTTATGACGTAGGAAATATGAACAAATAAGCAATACATACGTTTTCATATCACCAATATACGGGGTGAAAAAAAAAACGAATATTTGTTTTAAAATCATTATAATGAGAAGTAAGCTATTGTGAAAACAACAACATATATTTTAAAACAAATGCATATGAAATGGAGTTTATGAAATTACAACAATTGTTCCACCATTTTTCTTGTATAAATAATGTTGCACATTTGATCAAATTATTGATAAACTATCCGTAACTTGAGGTCTGCACTAAGTTCCTAATGAATGTCTCCAACTTGGAAGAATATCATGCATTGTCTTTGTGGTTACAGACTTTTCTATCAGACGAGTAATTGTTGATAGAGCAAAAGAATCCTGTTTTAAATTGTCCCTTGTTTTATAAGCTCTCATCATTGCTGTTGCGCTAGCATGATTCACTTGACTTAAGTCTTTCCTCATGCCTCAGATAATTACACAAGTAAAAATGTTTTTAAATCACTTGAACGTAGGTCAGATTTGCGCACGTGGCATTCCCGCCTTGCTTGGGGTGAAATGATTAAAAAAAATTATGTATAAGTGAATGCAACTAACTTCATTGTAATTACTCTCATTTTCACTCCCTGGAACCTCACTGCACACTAGAGGCACACCCTCCTTGCTTGGGATGAAATGATTAAAGAAATATATTTATGCGTAAATGAATTCAACGAACTCCACTGGAATTCGAACGCGACTACTTAGAGTTCATATTCCGAACCGCTATCCATTACACTACCCGTAACAAAAGATTTAATACGCAGAATTAAACCAACAGATTTTTTCGGAAAATTTAATGTTCATGTAAGATGTAGTAGATTGTACTTGTAAAATTTTATTTTACTATGAAGGGAATTTTTAGAAATGCTTAATTGTGTATCGATTTTTTCCAGCCATTTTTGTTTCTAAAAACAATTTAAAATTTAGAATCCTACATGAAACTTGAGACACATCGAAGGAATGTGGACAATTTGTTACCCTTCTACTCTTCCATAGTGAAGTGTAGAGTTACTGTGTTGATCGCAAAGTGAAATATTAAGTTGACTGTAAAACTAAACAAAGATGAAGAGGATTAAACTCGTCCAGTCAATGTTTTACTTTTTATGCAACTTTAGAACAGCAAGTCTGCATGACACTCAATAAAAGCGGGCTAGCGATTACGACATGAAATTGGAAACTCTTAAAAACTTTTAACAAAAGCGTTGAACGATTTGAAAGTGATGACTAAAGTTGTTTCTTTCGAGCAAAATCAATCATTAAAAAATGTTAAATATAAAAGAGACAACGGACATGACATATACGTTGGTTCGTATTCAAACATAATGATACGGCACAATCTGGTTTAACAGAAAGAGCGATGATTACGGCCATATATCACGTTGAAGCACCGGTTCTCCTCTGACCACCGAAGTTAAACAACGTCGAGCCTGGTCAGTACTTATATGGCTGACCGCACAGGAATACCAGGTGCTGTAAGCTGGGAGGTTCGTGACGCTGTAATCAATAATGGCTCAGAATTTTAAATATCGGAGAGTCGAGTTTGAAATCCAGTCTGGTTCGTTGTATTTACTTACGCGCAAAATACGTTTCGGAATGTTATGAATCCAGCTCTCTTTCCCCCCGATATGGTTTAAATAGTAGGACTTGTATCAGAAAATCTTTATTATCATCAATGCAAAAATATTTTCTGGGTGTGAATAACAGACAAAATATTGATAAGTCGTAAAAAAACTATTCAAATCAATCTGAAAGAGAAAGAAAAAGTAAATGTTTGTAGCAAATTTACCAATTATATATTTATATATGGTCATCCACTGACAGACTGTTTAGCTGTATCACAGCTCATCAGTGTGGCTCTAGCTAATTCACTCGGTGATTCTACCCTTAAGCTGTTGGCGCACGGCAGGAATGAATGTGAATTTAAGCGTGTTTATTTTTAGATAAACGCACAGTGATAGAGAGAACACAATTCGCTTTACCGAAGAGTCTTGTATTATTAGCCGTAATAGTCACTCTTTAAAACCCACACTTCCTCCCCAGAGAGCTCAAACGAAATAAATTTTTCAGGAGCATATATATTGTCATCCACAGAGAGACTGTTTCGCTGTATCACATCTCATCAGTGTGGCTAGACGTCCAGTGTATATGTATGTATGTATGTATGTATGTATGTATGTGTGTGTGTGAGTATGTGTGTGGTTAAAAAAATAAAGGAAACTATTTATGACTCAACTTAGAATTACACATGACATCATTTACACGATACCCGTATCTTTAAATTTGAAATGTAACGTCGGAAGAAAAAAATACGATGGTACGTAACTGATAAAACCTGTCTACGATACTGAAAATATTTAGTTCCTGATAATGATTGAGGCGGTCTGAACACTCGAACAAAAATAAAATATGATCTTCGGATAGTTTATCCCCAATTTTGATTTGGATGTGTACCAACATTCCAAAAATGGCAAATACAGTTAAAAAAAAAATTAACAGCTAGACATTATATATATATATATATATATATATATATATATATATATATATACGGATCAACTCTCATTTTTCGTATCTAACGATCACATGAACCAAAAAGACTATAGGAAGAAAAATCAATTCCGCTTTGAATTTCAATATTATTGATTCTCGGGTTTACGAAATAAGGTCGTGGAAAACATCTCTCAGAAAGCCTTCAGAATATTGACTAAAAGATTAACAGATAAAAAGTATAGAGTATACTCAAATATAGTACGAGATTTTGCAAGTTATTTTTACGAAAAAAAAAAGAGGGTCGCACTATACACAGGTATATTTTTTAATAAAGGTTACGGCCATATCACGTTGAAATTTCGTTTCCCGTATGAACACCGAAGGTAAGTAACGTTATTGCCTAGCTGGGTGATTACTTCGGAATATAAGTTATTGTAAGCGTGTAAGATACGACATCCAGTTCAAGCTATGTTCATCATATTCATTTAGGCGCAAATACCATTGGGAAAGGTATGAACTCACCTCTTTTCGCCCTATTTACTGGTTAATTAATAATACTAACTAAATCATTATTATCTCCAAAAAGATTCTTACAATTTTGTAAGCGTTCTGGAATTGCAAAAAATCACTGTGAGTTCAGACTCGAACATCGGGGACAGAAAGAAATGCCGAAAATTCGAATTGCAGGTACTATCTCACAAATCAGAATGCACGCAACCAGTCAGAAAAATAACTCACCCTGACGAACGAGGTAGCCAAAATACACAAATTTTGCTTTCCAGATTCGAGAACACCAACTGCTTTTATCGTTCGAGCATTTTTTTTCATTCGTTGACAACTGAGAGAGGACGCCCAATTTTTGTATATCAAAATACTTTTATAGAGACTCCTGTGACGGACTTGTTTTTAATTTAAATATTCCGTCTTTAGCATGTTATGCGGAATAAGTGCCCTTTTTTGGCAAATCCCTCTACGGCTACAAGAAGACACAAGTTATTTGTTGGTTTTGTGGTTTCTGAGTGTGTTTTGACGAGCTTTGGTAAATTCACCTACGAACTGTTAAGTTTTTGATTTTATTTTTTAAAAACTCTTGAATTTTTCAGTTTTGCTTTTCAGTTTATTTGTTCATATATATTTGTGCATTTTTGTTCTTTTCCTTTTTGTTTATTTCCATTCTTGTATTTTTACCCTTCCTACGGTTTTTGTTTTCATTACTTTTTCGTATTTATTTGTTTGAATTGTTTATTGTCTTTGGTTGTCCACGTTCTTTTTTCGTTTTATTTTGTTTGTTCTTGATATTGTTTTTCGTTGAAAAAAAAAATAAAAAAAGAGAAACGTCTGGTTATTTGTTCGGTCATGGCGGTCGTTTCGGCCACCATGAGCGAGAACAACTCAACTAAAACACCGCCGGTGTCTTCGGTAAAAATGGCCTGGGCTGAAAATAGGCCGAAAAAAAAAATGCAGAATATTATGAAAAAAGAAAGAAAGAAAGTGTTTGAGGATTCTTTCAAGGAAAATTAATTCCTCACAATTCCAGAGGCTTTGAAGGCCGTTAATACAAGAATAGTATCCCTGATGACACCCGACGCCAAAAGCCGTAAATTAATTGGAGTCATCAGGGAATCAATGGAAGAGGTCCTAAAAACCTTAAAGATTAACCCGAAGGTTTTGGCGAGACGGTCAAATGCAATATGGGATAATCTTCTCCCCGCCGAACAAGACGCCAAACCGCTGGCAGGCAGTGTGTTAAGCACGAAAAACCTAAGACTTCAAACTGAGTACATGGTCACCCGTAAGACAAAGATTACAGTCCATGGGGTGCCCGTTGATATCTCAGAAGACCGGATGGGGGCCTTCTTTTCAAAATTTGGAAAAGTAGAGAAAGTGAAGGCTATGTTAGGAAAATCGAGCATCGCCACTGGAGATGTGGAACTTCAGGTCACCTTGACTAGAACATATTTTGGCCAAATTCCTAATATTCTATTGTGTAGAGAAAGGAGAATGTTGGTCGTCGTAGAGGGGCGGAAACCGAACTGTTGGTCGTGTAGTGTCGTGGGGCACATGGCAAAGGAGTGCCCGGCGAAATGTCCGCAGCCTGCAAATATGCTCGCAACTACAACAGCAGCAACAGTAGTCGCAGCAACCGTAGTAGAGGGGGTAGCGGACAAAGACACCGATAATGCCTGAAGGTGGGAAGTGGTAAGAGGGCGAAAAACGTACCTTCTCCCACCCCCCAAAAGGAGACAGCTAATAAACAACAACCAGCAACACAGCATCAAGCAATGAAAGTAAGTAAAAAGAAGGAAAGCCAAAAAAAAAAAAAAACCTGAAAGGAGCAGACGCCTAAAAAACAACAGCAACGCCAGCAGCAGGAGCAGAAGCAGCAGCAGGAGCACCAGCAGCAACAACTGCAAGCCGAGGAGGAAATGGAGGTGGACAAAATGCTTCCACCTCGGGCGGCATCGTTAAAAAGAAGTAGAGAGGAGGAAGAGGAGGTAGAGACAACTACGCACAAGCACTCCGGGCGTAGTAGGGCAGACAGGGGCCGGACAAAATCAGGCCCCTTTTCGTCCCTGCTTCCCCGAAAGAAAAGTCTGAAGTTATCAAGACTATGAGCCTCCCTTCTTCCCCTTCACGTGCTCCGTCCGCATCTCCCTCAAACTCTTCCCTTAGTTGCCTATCCACACCCCCTCACTCGTCAACTGCTTTCCCTCCCCACTTCTCGAAAGTAACAAGAAAGGAAGACAAAAACTTTTTTCTGGACCTGAATCAATTTGTAGGGTGGACAGGGATGATTTAAAAAAGGGCCTGTCCAGCCAAAAGGGGGCCCATTTGGGTCTGTTGTATAAGATGAACAGTGTAGATGGGAAATTGGTGGAAGATCCACGTAATTTTCCAAAAGTCCCCGGTGTCATTACCTGCATGAGGAACACTGGGGTCTACTTAAAAGTTTGGGGTCATGTTGCATAAGCTAAAGAGTCATTTGGCAATATGAGAATCGCAGAGATTGATTCTCCTGATTTTAAAAAAATACGGCAATATTGTGCTAGGAGGGTCCCTGTTATTCTCCACCTTCCCTTTATAGGTGTCTAAATTAACCTATCCGACGGATGTCGGCGGAATTGTCCTGGAAAGCGAATGGCGCCAGAGCTAGGTGTAGAGAGCCTAGGACAATCCGTCGGGATCCTAACTGACTCAGATTTCCGTCCCGTATGTGAGTAGGTTTTTGCTTTTCTTATTCTAATTTTTTGCAGGCCTAAACGATGTCAATCAAGTTAGCCAGTCTGAATGCGAAAGGCTTGAGGGATCGGGGTAAGACGACCCGCCTGCTCCGGGATCTCTTGTCTTTCAGTGTGGATGTCGCCGCGATCTAAGAGACGTCGATGCGTGTGTGACTGAGAACGACTTTGTCGTTTATTCAGCATATGGGGAACGAAAAGCTAGAGAAGTTTCTTTGCTGGTTAGACGTACTCTTGATGCGAAGGTGGACCTTGTGCTTATTGATGCCTACGGCCGGTTGATCGTGGCCGATATTGCCGTGAAAAGTGGTTCTTTCCGAGTCGTTGCGGTTTATGCGCCTAATGACCAAAAGAAGCGGGTTTCGTTTTTTCTGCGGTTGGGGCCGTTCCTGGTGGATTCAACGCGCTTAGTTCTAGTGAGGGACTGGAATGCCATCCTGGACTCCAAGTTAGACAGCGGGCGGCGAGCTAGTGGGAGGAGGGGCAATCGTAGCCTGGTTGATCTGATCAACGATTTTGGTCTCTTCGATAGATACCGAGTAGATCACCCCGGGGGTAAAAATTTGGACGTGGGCTCTTAGTTGGCCTTCTGACAAGGTGGTTAGCTATCTTGATAGAATGTTAGTTAGAGGAGCCAACGTAGACTTGATAGATTGCCCCACGTTCCACTGGGTAGGCTATTCAGATAACAAACTCGTTTGTGCCCGGATGGCATTAGTTCGTAGGTCTAGAATGGCTGGCTACTGGA